AGTCTTTGTTTTTAGCAATAAACTAAAGACTAACAGTGAGTTAGTAACAGCTAACTAGCATGTTTCTGTCACGTTGCACTTTCTCTACAACCGAAGGCAAGACAGTAAATCACAGCCTTTGTGACGTCTTCATCTCACAGCTGCCAGACCTTAACATGTGAACAAAAGCACTGTTCTGTGGTGATTCCCCACTTAAGCTCTTTTATTCTTCATCACAATGAAGTGTCAGCGTATCAGTAGTCGGGGTAAATGATGTAACAATGGGATATTGATTTAAAAATATCAATCAATATCCTTTTGAAACGTGTGTGAAAACAGGACATTGATTGATTTCTAATCTATTTAACTTGGGAAATATTGTGGTGTGGGTCAAGGCATCCCCTCTGTAGTTCACATCCACTAACTGAATTGTGGACACCTGCTGTGGGATTTAACTTAATAAACTTCAGTTTAATTTCTGTTCTGATTTGATGATTTCTTTGTCCCATAATAAACCAAGCAGCTAACTCTGTTCTTTCTCCATTTGTCCTCCAGACATTTCCAGGATTGCCTACTACACAGGTGAGTAGTTGACCCTCAAACACCTGCTACAGCCATTGAAATTATTCAGCTGCTTCATTCACTCCACACAATGTGAAAGGTCATTCAGAGCCTCGGGCATTGTCGTTTGATAAAATAATCGTAATCAAAGCCCATTTAATTGCTTTTGGGTTGACCTTGAGTTCATGTTATTTTGTCAAAGATGAGAAAATGATTTCTTTATAGCATTAACCCTCTGAGCCCCAAAACCTACCAGTGAAAGGCAGAGTAGTTCTAAGAACAGGAGGAATCTTAGGGTTTTTAATTTTCTGACAATGTGCCACACTGAGTCTTTAAATATTTTTTCCCCTTTTTTGTATGACTGTTAATAAGCTGTAAGGTGCTGTTCAATTCAGGTGAAACACCAGATGTTTGTTTTTGAAAGTGCAGATTATGTGGTGTATGAGGTGAGACGGAAAGAGTTTGTGCAATTGATCTGGAGCATTCATGCTCAGTGAAGGCAAGTTTTATTTTTTTATGTGTAAGAGGTGGCAATAATCTCTTGCACATCTGATGCACCATTTAGTTGAAACACGTCACCAAATCAAAGCTTAAAAGCATGATAAGTCATCGAAATCACTGTACATGTGTCATTTAAACACCAAAAGTAACCTGTTTGCATTATCCAGATTCTCTAAGAAACAAAAAGTTACATGTTGTCAGCAGTAAAGTGACACACCTGAGCCGACAGCCATGTAAAAAAAAAAAATCAAGAACTTCTTGGCTGAACTGCCGGCTGTGTTCACACAGAGCAGATAGGAAACGTGTGGAAACAAAAATGTAGTTAGTAAAATCTCCGTATGCAGCCACCGTTTTTTTCCGGTATTGGTAAAAACCTGTGGGCACTTGGAAAAATGTTGTACATCTTTCTTTGTTTTCAATTTTTGTAAAATAAATACTGAAAGAAATTCAGCTTTTCTTTTTTATAATTGATGGCATTGTGACTTTGTTATGCTTCTATTAGTTCTTTCTACTTCTAGACTTTGTTTTGCCCTCGGCTGTGCTGGTCCCATAGAGGTAAAGGACTTGGTATTGCAGAGAAAAATGAGCCCACATTGAGTAAACAGGAGCAAAGAAACTCCTCCTTGGGGTTCAGAGGGTTAATTTATCCTCTAGATTGTTGATGTTGACTGAAGAGCAAGTTATGGTCAGTTAATTTCTCTTCTGAATATACTGTAGTATATGGAAGAAAATGTATTTAAATGCAGCTCTTTGTGTAAACAAGAAGAGGAATGTACATACTCTGACATCCTTAACACAGTAATGATGCTGATAATCAAACCGAGCGCCTCGTACTGATGAGAAGATGCAGCGATTGTGTGTGTTTATGTGAGCTGTGTTTGTGAGTGTGTACGAGTAAAACAAGATAGAAAACAGTCAGAGAGGGACTGGTTATCTGCATGTTGGTCTCATTAGTGTGGAAGAGAGCAAGACTGCGTGACTGATTATGATCTTCACATTGTAGATACCAGACACAAAATATGTCCCTTTCACTTTAAAGTCCCAAAATAGCTCCAGCAACTTGAGGGTGTGAAATAGATTTTCCTCACAGAATCGTATGTGTCATGGCAGCTTACCCTGAAGGCTTGCTCCGATGTTTTGGTATAACAAATGAATTAAGCTGCCTAACTTTAGCAGATTAATCATATGTGTAACCACAAGGAGACAAGTGGCACTTTTTACTCTCTCCAGTTACTACCTGAGAGTAATTGTTTTATCAGATGGTAGCTTTTTTTGTCAGTGCATCAAACAGTGTGATCTGTTCAACATTTCCCTCTTGAGTTTAACAATACTCGCTGCCAGCTGCGAGGAAGTAAGAAAATAACAAAGGAAGAGTAGCTGGTTGGTTGAAGAGGATGTTTTCTGCATAATCACAGTGTTCTTATGGTTTATTTAACTTTGTTTGCCACTCTGCTTTATTTTTCTGTCTGTCAGCTTCAAGAAAACTTTTGTAACTGTACCTTTTTTTAATTTGTACATTTCCTCTATAGACTATGGAGTAGTGAGAGTGCCAAATTACAAAAATAAATCAGTAAAAAAACAAAAAAGTGGAAATAAAAAGAAGAACAAATAAATAAGCATAAAGACGTGGATATAAAAAGAAGAATAAATAAATCAAGAAAAGAATAAAAAATAAAAGTGGAAATAAAAAGAAGAAGAAATATAATATTTAATTTAATATTTTTTTTCTTTTTTATTTTGTCATTTTTATTTTTTCTTATTTTTTAAGTTTTTTTTTTTATTTAAATTTTTATTTTTGATCTTTTTTTTTTTAAAAGTGACTTTTTCTTTTCTTTTTTTTTGCTTTTAAATAGACCAAATATGGTTTGCTCAGAACCTAATAATTTGTTTGTTTTTCCCTTTTTGACTGGATGAGCAGAGACACAAGGTGTGCATGCCATTAAAAAGTATAGGCACAACATTTCACTAACATTTTTGAAGTTTAAATCGTCTTAAATCTGTTCTGAGTTACTGTAATGTGTTTGTCAGGGCACTACAAATTAAAAGGAAGAGCTGTGAAGTTGACACAATCTGTGTTTGATGGCGAAAAGCAAATTTTTATTGCTATATCTATATCAGATAGTAACAGAAAATGAATTTAGAGTAATATGGATAGCCAGCGGGAAACATTCATTTATTAGGTAAGGCATGGATGTATCTCAGTCAGCGCTTGTATTTCACATTAAAGGCATTGAAACAAACACATCAACTGCTTCCTGATGAAGCACATCAAAGTGGCCAGTACAGATCTGAGGTTTACCAGCTGCTTTCATATTTTATTTGCATTTCGTAGATGGTGTTTGTTGTGCCTACCTCCCATGCTAAAATATAGGTTCATAAATGCAGAACCAAATGGGAAGAGAGAAAGAGAGACTTTGGCTCAGTCCCAAAAGAGCTCTTCCTATTCATGGCAACATCCGGCCCTCTGACAAAAGGCTTTCAATAGTACACACACACACACACACACACACACACACACACACACACACACACACACACACATGCACACGCTACAAAAACCCCCTGCTCCCACCAGATTTTCATGACAATGGCCCATGCCCGAGATGGACTGCAAATTATAGGAAACCCACGCGTGCACACTCACACACAAACGCACATCCTAATGACGTCCCAGATAGGTAGCCTGAAGCACAAGCTCAGTTCCAATTTTACATTTTTGTGTGTTTTGTAAAGGTTGTTGTCTGTGTTTTCAGTAATTAGTTAAGGCCCATTCAGTCGAGGGTGTGTTCAAACGTGTAAATGTCCGTTTGATGGATGGCGACTGGCATCTGGTTAGCAGTAACACTCACAGTCATAAGTACCACTCGCTTGCAGGATATCGTACTGATTCTGAGAGACGGAGGCAGTATATCCCCCCGAAACACTGACTGTGCAGTGTGAAGCGTGATCGATTGATACCTTGTGGTTTGGAAGTGGATTGTTCGCCATATTGCTCGCAGCTGCGAGTTTACATGCTGGGCACGGAGAGGGCAACATCTGTGCTGACAAAATGCTCTCATGTTCTCAACTTTTATTTGATTGATTTAGTTTTGGTCCATAAAACTCTGTCTGAGAGATGGATGTGTATGTTCTGGTGATTTGTCCTACGGTGGTTGGCTAATGTGCCCATTTAGACATGAAACAGTAAGAATTCAACGTTTGATTGTGATGCAGCGGAGGATAGTGGCATCTTGTCAACGCGTTGTGTATCCTATTACCAAACAGTGGACGGTATGGAAATGGAGTGTAACTACAGTGGGAGATGATGGGAATGCAGTTTTGCTTTTGTTTAGGTGAGATGATGACTGGTTGTGCTCTGTTTTTGCATTTGTGATTTGCTTTTGCTTCTGTTTTGAGTAAATTTAACCGAGCTTAGTCACAGGAGCGTCCTTTCTTCTCCTTGACGCTGAAGATAAGGGCTGTTCTCAGATCAGTTTCATAAACAGAAGTGGGAGGGGATTTCGTTGAATAGAAGGGACCGGATTAGCATATTAATAGCTTCTAGCTCCTCCTGCTCCTCCAGCAGCCCTCTCTTGAGCGCTCTCATTCCCCACTTCCACAACTTTCTTTCGGTTGTGCTGCTCTGTCCTCCTTTTCCTCTCACCCTGAAACAATCGCTGCATTTCTGTCTCTCTCTCTCTCCCTCTGTCCCACTGCCTCCTTTGTCTTTGTGGCTCAGTCTTTTCTCTCACTTTCCGTTTCCAAGAGAAGAAGATAACTTTGTGTTTGTCTTACTGAGCACAGTAATTGCCTCTCCTCCTCTGTGACCACTAACTAACTGAAGGTCCTCTGGATCAACACTGCACAAGTTGGCTTTTAAGCTTTTTGCTGAAGGAGCACTGCTCTCACCAACACAAGGACTCCGCTGAGCGAAAAAACCCGAATTCTCTCCTGAGCGACAGTTGCTTGACACTTCCACGGCAACTCTGTAACTATGGAGCGCAGTCATGGGGCAGAAATCGGACAAAAAACAAACAGTGTGCTGTCATCAGAGAGGGGCCGCTGAGGAGTAATTCAGAAGTGGACAGAAAAAAAGAGGAGGAGAGAAGCTTGTGGATGAAAGTAGCGTCTCCGGGGATCGTTTTCGTCTTGTACGACTTTGGACAACAGGAAAAGATTTGGAGGGCAGCTGTTAGCATCGAAGAAACTCTTCAGAGGATGTTGTTTTTCCCTGTTGGTGTGTTTTCTGTGGGATTTTCACACTCCATCCAAAGTGTCAACAGACTGGAGAACTGGCTTTTTCGAGGTTTTCTGCTGCTATCCCTTTGGAAGTAATTGTTGGCAAAAGTTGGAGCGAAAGATTTGTTTCTTCGGAGACTCTGTGTGTGTGTGAATTAGTGTTTGGATTATGCGAGAGTTTTCTTGCACTCGTGCCAGGATCTTAGCGCGTTTATTTATTTAACTCTCGTACATGAGAAGTTCGCTGCGTGTGATGCGAGGTCGCGAAACAGCGAGTTGCCTGTCTGTCCTCGAAGCAGACAGACACGGGGAGGGACAGACATGCGTTTCCATGGCAACAAGTGGCTGTAGCCCCTTCCCCATGTGCTGGGATAGAGGTATGAATGAAATCTCCTTTGCACAAACACACACAGAAGCACAAAACACAAGTAGCTCGAAGCCACTCCTCACAGCGCGACACCTGACTCCATGGGAACTCAGTTGGTCTACAGCCAAAGCTACCGATACTTTGCCGAAGTTTTGTGTGTGTCAGAGAGAGCGAGAGTGCACCAACTTGTTGACATAAAATTCATCATCGGCAGTGGGAGCACATTTTTTAATCTTGCTGTGATATATCCCTCGACAACTTTGCAGTCTTTTTGTTGAGTTATGTCTGTGTGCGCGCGCTCTCTCTCCAACTCTCTCAGGTGTAATTACCTGCTAGAACATATCCATTTTCCTTTAATGGAGGAGCGAGGAGAAGCACAGGAAGAAAAGGGAAGCAGGAAAATGGAGCGTGAAAGAGATCTCGGTGTCATGATGACGACAGCGCGTACACACTTTGCCTTTGCCACACTAACAAAGAGAAGGTAGCTGTTGTCGGGCATTTCCAGATTAAGTTACAATGAAATTCCAGGAAGTGTGTCAATGTCAGAGCTTCTTACTCAGAAAATATGGCAGCCTGTGGTGCATTGTTTTCTCTAAGTTATAGACGCGGGTTCTTAAATAATGAGCCTTGACCCTGACTGCAATTCTTTCTCTTTATTTCTCTCTCTGGTATCTTATTGTTCATTGTATTTGATCTTCCCGAGGAACACACACACATGAATAATGGATGCTGTACAAAGTTTGCATCTAGAAAGACAGGGAGGGCATCGGAGAAAAAACGGGAGCAAGCAGATGTACAACATTAAAAGTGCTGTAACTAACAACACTAGAAACATGGGAGTTCAGATGATCAGTCAAGTAACTGATTAGCAGAGTGACAGAAAATTAGTTGACGGCAAAAAAACATCAAAAGTACCTGGTTCCTCTTCCAGTGTGATGATTTTCTGTGATTGAACAAACTGTGATTGGTATTTTTTTACACTTTATTTACAAGACAACCAATAAATAAATCTAGAATATGACTGTGAGATGGTTGGATGGTAAAGATAGATTATTTGAACACCTACTCCGCTTGGATGCAAACTAGTTTTTACAAAAGAGGAATTGGTGCACTTTACAATCAGATGTGTGTGTGTTTAGCTTGTCTTGACTGCATATCGTGAAGCATAACATACAAATGATCAGCCTGTTTGCTGCAGAATTACCCTCTAGGCTAAATGGTTTAGCAATTTACTGAGAAAATAATTAAATGGTGACAAATTACTGCCCTATTACAAACATCTTTTGTTTTTGTTTTTTTTATTTATGGGACACAATGGTGAAAGTTTGCTAACGTGCTCAACTATCATCAGATTGGTTGAATTCAAGAATTTCCCTCCAATTAAACTCTTAATTCTTAGTTTTGAATTAGAATTTTTTTTATTAACCTGTACTTTTCTGTTGCACAGAATATGACAGACACCTAGCAGCGGCAGTGTCAGCAGGGAAAACCATGGCGACAGCCTACCTGGACCCCAACCTCAATCATACCCTCCTAGGCGGTGCCAAGTCGCGACTGAGCGCGGGGGGATCGGACCGAACCATGGCCGGCTCCATGGACAGGGTCCTGAAAGTCTTCTATCACTTTGAGATCAACACTGAGAACAGCTGCTGGTCTTCCAATATCAGATACGGAGATGCAACTGATGTCAGGGTAAGAAGACACAAGCTTGTGTTTCCTTGTGAACTGAATGTCTATAATTTAGGGGCATCTTACAATAAAATGCGTCTCACAACATCTTAAACTGTGACCTCAGATTGTTGGTTTTTGTTGGTGTAGAGCAGGGATCTCCAACCCCGGTCCTCGTGAGCTACTGTCCTGCAGGTTTTAGACGTTTCCATACTGTAACACACCTGACTCAGATTAATGGATCTCCAGCAGCTTGTTGTCAAGTTCTACACAAGACTGTTAATGATCCATTAATGTGAGTCATGTGTGTTGAAGTATGGAAATGTCTAAAACCTGCAGGACAGAAGCTCCTAAGGACCGGAGTTGGAGATCCCTGGTGTAGAGTATATTGACAGTAAGAAGTGCATAGTGCTGTCAGCCTTATTTTGCTCTGTTAAACTGATCATTATAACCTTATTTGGTGTACAAGTCTGTCCCCAGGCCTTGTATGTTGCAATTTAGACCAACACTAGATTTAAAGCCGATTATTTTTTTTTGCTGTTTGTCCTTAGCTCAAGGTCCTAGCTGTCTGCTCTGATAAAGGACACTCAACACAGTGAGAATATTTTGCTTGCAAATATATGTAACCTCAGGGCAACATTTGTGTGTGGGTTTTACTTAGCAGTATGCTTTTAGATCCGCTGCCAGATGCAGAAACTACCTAGCGTTGCTCACATTTTAGTGGTCATACAGGCTACGTCACTGCAAAAATCCTCTGCTCTCCTTTCATCCCACTCTTCTTCAGTATCTAGGTCAGACCCCCTAGCGTTTTACATGGCAACACACATGGTTCTGTGAGCATTATTGTGTGTGCCTGTATGAGGTCTGTCAACTTGTTTGGGTGGGAATGTCATGTTAAATTGCTTTAAGTCACCTACACACACATGCACAGACATGGACTGATGCCCCGGTTGACCTGATACAAAATGCCAGATGTCAACCTTAGCACAGTTGGCATACTGGGCAAAGGCAGACTAGCTGTTGTGTTTTTCCCACTGTGCATCTCTGTTTGATCTAAATAACACCAAACTGATCTGCATGCTATGGACCACCCAGAGGAAAGCACTGCTGTAGATATAATGTGGAAAAGACTTTAGAATTATGCATAGTTTAGTGTGATAGACCTGCCAAGATTAATTTATACAGAATCAATAAATCACTTTCAATCAATGTATGTTGCTATTTCATCACTCTGTCTGCAGGGGATCATCCAGAAGATTCTGGACATCCACAAAGTGCGCTGGACTTCATGTTTCGGCCTGCGCCTCAGTAACAGCCAATCCAGAGATCAAGTGCACTGGCTCCACCCAGATATGGGCGTGTCCCACGTCAGAGAGAAATACGAACAGGCACGGCCGAACGAGGAGTGGAGGTAAGACGAGGCCAGTGTTAATGTGTTTGAATTTGTCAGACACTTTGGACAGTTGTCAACACTAATGGAACGAACCGAAGCTGACATCATAGTTTGCTGCTGGAGTGTAAATGATGCATTCAGGGCCACTGCATCAAGTTGCAAATCAGACTGTAGCTGTAAAGCAGCAACAGGGCAGCAGAGAAACAACAAAGATTATATAGAAATTATATAAAGTGGGCTGCATGTGTGGTGATGAGATGCTCCAGGATGGTTTGTACCTGCGTCTGTGAATCTGTGACAAACTTTAACTCAGAAATACAGTTTAAAAGTTTTGCTTGACATGTATTATCTGTTGTATAGCTCTAGTTTTCAGGTCCATGACTTGTGCCTTTTATTTATCGATTATTCAGTTGTTTCTCTGATGAATATTATTATAATAATAAGCTTTGTTTGTATAGCTTTTTACTTAACAAGACACTACGATGCCATCAGTCATAAAAAAGACAAAAATGAAAGTTGAATTTCTTCGATCACTGCCCTCAGGTGTTACCAGCATTGGGGGAAAAAAATGGTGATTCTCCATGCCATTAAAATTTAGTATTTTTGTTTTGTTTCTATACTTGTCCCCCCATCAGACACAGCCTGCAGCTCAGCTGAGAAGTCTCAGTTTTTGTCAAATGATCTGATCACAGCCTAGGCAACAGCGGCTTCTCGTGTGCACCGAGGAATGCAGGCTTTTTCGTTTATAGAATTTGTTTAATGCAAATGAGATTTGGTTAAGTCTCTGAGCAGAACTGCATGTCACAGTAGTTGAAGGGTCATCAGAAACGTAAAAATTCAAGGATTCTTTCTGTTTGATCAGCTTCTGGCTCTGATAAATAGTTTTAACTTTGGTCATTTTTTAAAAAGATGCCATGGCTCCTTGGCTACAATAACGTTCTTTTGGAATTTGTATTGTTTGCAGTCACCTTTTCCTTTTGTCAGTAAGCATGGCTGACCAAACTCCTCCTCCATGGATTAAAAATGTAATAGCCAGTGTGGTAGAGGAGGATAAAATTAGTTTTTTTTTATCTTGAGCTTAGACCCTGAGGCAGGTGCTTGAATGTCCTTATCAAGCACTGCTTTCAGAAAAACTGTGAGGTGGCACTTTATAAACAGTTTCCTGCCTTGGTTAGACGTGACTTATTTGTCCTTGTAAATCCAGTCAAAGTCACAAAACGCTAGCTTCAGCAGTCTGTCGTATCGTATTCCAAAGTAGCAGAAATGATTTATTGCAAACGGTATCAGGAAAAACAGTGCGACCCGTCTGTTGTGTGGCGATGACAGGCCTTGTGTGTGGTGCAGTGTGTCGGCTCGGTAGTTTGGATGTTAATGCTCTGGTATATATTACCTTTATTGTGGCAGTCTTAGTGCTAATGCTATTGTGAGGTGGAGACCCTTTGCACTGTGGACATAAAGACAGAGAGTGAACCAGATGCCTGCTTTGTCTGACTAAGTCAACAACTCTATCTGTGCCTGTGTGTTTCTACTAGAGGGTCATTCCATCTGACGTCTCTTTTTGGAGGAATTTCTGCTTGACTGTGTTTGATTTGTGTGAAATTAATTTTGCATAAAATATTGATAATTATAAACATATTTGTAAAATTATAGCATATTATATCAAGGACTTTTTTTGTTTTTGTTTTTGTTTTCCACCCACTTTAAGCACGCTTTTTCATATGTTGAAATTTGAGGCGACGTTTGAGAACTCTGTCCTACTTGGATTGGGCAGTCCAGTAATATTTTTGGCTTTTGTGGTACAGCTTTTCATTTTTGTGACCACTTTTTCATATTAAGAAGTATTTTATATGTTTGTTTTGTATGATTCTGACATGCAGCTACATGTGGTTCAGTTCACTTATTTTTTTATTATTAATGTGCTGAAGGATGAGACTTTTCATGTCCACTTCAATTTGTTTTTCACATTTCAACTTACTTATAATCAGAAATAATTCTATCAACTTGTCCAGTATTGCAGAATCTGAATCAGTGACATGATGAGAAATAACGATGAAAATGTCAGGCGATTATCGTTAATAGTTCCTTAATAGATATCGTTATTCAAACCTAACCATAAATGTCACACTGCAGACAAGTGAGCTGAAAATGGCTCGACGTGCAATTTTCAAAATACTTTTTCTTGGAAAGTCCTGCATATATCACTGTAAAATCTCACATAAACCATTTTAAATATGCATTATTTATAATAAAATAAAGGCATTTCAAACAATTTAGAAATTGGCGAGCAGAAGGCCTCTGATGATTTGAGATTAAATAACCCCCGACTGATTTTACAGTCACTCATCCCATTTGCTTTCTTGCATATTATGATTGTTCACTTCTTCTGTCTGCGTCTCTCTCTGATCCTCCTCCAATCCTCTTTCTTCTTTTGATCACCTGCATATCCCTGTATTCATATTATCCTTTTGTCTGCTTTCTTGATATTTTAATTCCCTCTCCTTTTCTCTCTCCCTTTCCTTTCCT